CTCTAGGGCGATACCTTTTAACGTTTCGTACAGCTCCCTAAATCCGTCACTGGAAAAAATTTGGGTAAAAACACAAAAAAAAGTGTTTTCTCAGTGTTCTCAAGCTTTTTCCAGTCATGGATTTAGCTAAATTAAACGGTATACAGTTTGTATGAAACCTTAAAAAGGTATATAGATGGTGACAAAAGTTTAAACCTTTTTAGATTCGGCAGAGTACCTGTTTTTTTAGAGAGTAGGAGCTATTTCATAGGTTATGTATTTTTCTCCGACTGTATTTTGTATTATTTTGTTTCCTGTATACTAGAAATTATCAAAAGATCTCAGATCGAATGATAGTCTACAGAAATGGCTCAAATTTCAAAAGTGCGCGTCAATCACCAAACAGCTCTCTTATTAAGAGTTAACAGCTTAAATTCATAATGTAGATAGAAGAGAGTCAATACACATTATGGCAAAAGGAAGAATGCTTCATCTCTGTTGGATCAGGAGTTATTAGCGATTTACTTAATAGAAACGATCGTGTCCATCACCAAAATGTAAATATCCAGAATGAAAGAAAGTGAATATGAGCCTATTAACTGATTCCAGTGTCATTTGGTGAGATCCGACTAAATGAAAAATAAAGAAAAGAGTCGTAAAGACTAACCTATAAAATTTCAAGAAAAAGTTTTACATTATCTTCTACACGTAACGATATTATTCTACATTATTTGGTGATTAAAAGTCGACTAATTTAAACTGATTGGGTTTCCATGAATGAGCATGCGATCTTGAAAAAGATGCTTGAAGTTACGTATATTTTCAGATTCTTATTAGATACATTTAATATAAGACATAACATCAATTATTTTCAATAGTTACTTCAAAAAATGTTGCCTAAACCTAGTTATACACCAGTTACAGTTTTTTACTACTTAACTGTACGTGTAAAACTGTTATAACTGTAACTGTCATAACTGTGCAACTGTTACTGCTAATAGCTGTAGGCAAATATTCTAGAGTGAGTTAGTCTTCTACGATTTGCACACATTTTAAAAATTCTCTTATGCAAGTCGTAGAAGACTCACTCTAGAATATTTGCCTACAGCTATTAGCAGTAACAGTTGCACAGTTATGACAGTTACAGTTATAACAGTTTTACACGTACAGTTAAGTAGTAAAAAACTGTAACTGGTGTATAACTAGGTTTAGGCATGTTTTTTTGAAGTAACTCTTGAAAATAATTGATGTGATATCTTGTATTAAATTATAACACTTACACAGTTATGACGGTTACGGTTCTACAGTTTTACAGTTAACTGTAACCGGTACATGCCTACCTAAGCCGAAAACAACAACACAAAATAAACTAGAAGAAATAATTAATAAGCAAACAGAAATGAATGAATTTGGTAAAAGAACGTTACAAAGTAAGTCTCAAAGTTATATGAATGAATTATTCGGCCATGCACAAATATGTTCCCAAAATGCCGGTAGAAAAAACATTAAATTATTTAACATTTCATGTGCATTGAAATTTCGCGCTGAAGGTAAGTTACTTAGTTACAGTATTCAAAATGTCAAAATTAGCTTAAGGATCCAGTGTCGCTCCATTCAGTTGATGAATCAGACATAATCTGTCAGATTTGTTGAGACAAAATCCTATAGAAGTCGCCATGTAATTGCGCAATTCAACTAATAAACTGAGAACCTTCACCGCTTGTTTTGCTATTTAAAGATTATGGTGTTGATATTGGTTTGCCGCAAACAGGTTTTACTTTAGAACTACCGATTGAATGTGATTTGGAAAGTGTTAAAGAGGTTAGTTGGAGCATTCTTCTAAACTTGAATTTTTCTTTCAATTTAGTGAATCCTTGCATTTTAGTAATGACCATACTATAGTTATCTACTGATTCAAGCTGATTTTGTGATAATGGTAAGTAATGTTTTTCCTGTGAAATTTCCTTCCAGCGTTTTCGATTTTAGTATAGAGCTGCTTTTCTATTTTAAGAAATGTAAGGTGATACTCCTGTTGTTGGTACGGTTTGTGATTTTAATATTCAACCTGCCGCTGTTTCAATAAGCATACGTAACTGTTACAAATTATAACCGGGTGCATAAAATCTAAAATCTCTTTTAGTTGAGACCACTGGTATTATTATTGATAGTTTTTCTGACAAGGGTGGTTTTGATGATGATTGAGATAACAATATCAATTATGATTTCCCTATAAGTTTAAGAGCAAAGCGAGCAAGAGAAGGCGTTTGATTCGTAATTTTTCGCTAAATAAGCTATATTTTTCTGAGCTTTTTGCTTTGCTTTCAAAATCTTTTTACTTTTTAGCATATAAGTTATATAAAAATGGGCAAAACCGTTTTTAAAATCAGTAGCTGCAGTACATAGTTGACTCGTGTGATTTTTATTTGTTTTTAATGATCTTTAATTGTTCTTGCAAGTATTATCTTTGATATCTCAAAATGACAGAAGTTGTCTAGAGATGATGCGGCTTTTAAGTTGTTATTCCGTGAGACACTAGCAGAGAACTTTGCAAAACTGTTCCTCCTGTTTCTTGGTCAAATCAGTTTTTGACATATATTTTATAACTAAACGTTATGATCACTTTACTTTTAATGACTTTATACTTTTAGTTATTTACTTACTGTTATTAAGTCATCGTTCACAAAAAGCTAATTCTACGATAGTTGACTCTAATAGTCAGAGCGCATTTAACCCAATAAAATTTCAATAGTTGGTTTTACTGCTAATATTTTGAATGAGGGAAATCCGGTACTAGCAGCATTTTTGGATTCTAGTAAGGCATTCGATAAGGTTTCTCATTGTGGACTACTGGCGAAGCTTCGCAGTAAGGATTTACCTGATTCGCTGGTTCAGTGGTTTGACAGCTAAATATCATTCAGACGCATTGTAACTATGGTTGACGAACATATATCGCATGAGCTATCTGTGATGTGCAGAGTTCCCCAGGACCCTGTATTAGAACCATTGCTTTTTCTAATCTATATTGATGATCTACCTTTATCGGCTAGATCAACTTGTCAATTATTCGCAGATGTTAGTCGATTATTTTATTGGCAGCGGCGTATTAAATTAAAAACTTTATCGGAGGCGGCGCGGTGTGAAAATTTTAAAACAGTTATAATTTTCGACAAATTTTCTTTAAAGTAGTACTGAAAAAGTTCTGAATCAGTGGCCAAAAACTTCAAAAAGAAATTCCATCTATGCAAGTTACGTGACTAAAACTTTGTTCCGCAGACGCAGTTGACACCGATAAAGTTGCTAAAAATATTAACAGTGATCAAACGTTTGGAAATGCGGCATTATCTGCCTGTTTAATTAAATCATTTGCCCACTTCTTTTTCCAGTCCTCATCTTCTTTAATTAAATTAATACATTTTGTTTGCTATCTTTCTAATTCAGAAAATAACTGTAATGGCGATGGTACTCAATCAGCAAATTTATCAACTAACTGTTTAGCTAGTTTTAATGCTTTTTCTTTTGTTATTATTTCTAGTCTCAATTGAGTTAACAATACGATTCGTGGACTTCTCGTTCCTGGTAGTCGATTTTTGATATTATCAACTAATTAATTAACTAAATAACTTTGATACTATTAACTAATCAGCCAAAAATGGTAAATAAACATGATCGCGATAATATGTCTCAGGATCTGTTATTGTTATCTGCTTTTTCTTAATTCAGCAATAGAATGACGCTGAATACATGGTGTAATAAATTATCCTGCCCTTAATTGATCTGAATGTTGCTAAATAATATTATGAAAATAATCTGGAGTATCAATTTTTCTTTTTTCAAATGTGTCTAATAGAATACCACCGTATCTATTAGCAGCACTAAAATCTAGCATCGGTGTTTGTAGCAATCGACTCAATGGAACAATTTCTGATAATACAAAACATAATAAACAAGTAGAAATAGTATGTTCAAAATTAGTAATAGCGTCTATAGTTATTCTACACTACCATCTTTCAGTTTTCCAGAACTATAACATATTACGCATCTTTATAATATTTCTTATTAAGGGGGGGGGGGCCCCGCGGGGGCGGGGGGGGGGGGGGGGGGTGTGGGGGGGGTGGGGGGGGGAGGGGGGGGGGGGGGGGGGGGGGGGGGGGGGGGGGGGGGGGGG